AATATCAACGAAATATATAAGTTAACTGTTATATAATTATTGGATTATATAACAGTTAACTTAGTTTCCGTTATATAATTATTATATAAGTTAAGTGTTATATAATTATTAATACTGTTAAGTTAAACTAGCGCCAGAGTGTCGCTATGGTAAACAAATACTAGAGTGAACTTTAAAGAATGCATTTATTCTATTGTGGTTTATGCGCTGTCGGCGAAGTAGATTTAATTCAATCCAATAAGCTTAAATGAAATGCAAGAAAAAATGCGTATAATTATTATTCCGTACAAGGAAGTCATGTGGTGTAATCATCAGATTTTTTAAATTCTTGTTAGCTCAACATTAGGCAACTGTGTACAAAATGTCATTGTAATAAACCAATTACTTTTTTAGATATATGTTTTGTATTTGTAACCCTTATTTTAGACATTAGTATAGGTATTTAAATATCCGAATTTTTTAGAGCTAGTAAGTAGCGATGTATTGCTTTTGATAAATTTCGGTTGAACAATAAGAATAGATTTTTTACAAACGTCTCTGTTTAGTTACATTACTTGTCTGTCTTCTTAGCGAGTAGATTTCTAGTACATGCGAAGACGATAATTAAGCACAGGAATGTTATATAGACGTAGTTTAATAAATTAACTCTGTTATAATAAGAGTACTAAGCACAAGATTTCTGCGAACAAGTACGTAACGTAAAACTTTAGATAGTATAATTCGAATGTAAATAATAACTATTTTTCATAATGAAACAGAACTACAAATGTCGAGACGAAATACGACTACAACGTATTTGGGTATTCAAAAAATCCAAGTAATAATTTTATTTTTTTCTGTGGGTCAAGTACGCATTTTCTGCAAAGAATTTGAGTTCTTTATTTGTTCATATTATGTTTCAACAAGAAATCACTGCTAAAAATATTATATATTTTTATTTATGTAAATCAAAAAGTAAAATATGCCGATACATTCAACTGTCAACCACGAAGGTTGGCCGAAATCCTGCCAATTTTCCTCCAGATGCGGATGTAGTATATAAAAAACTTAAATAAACCTGAACTCAAGCCTTGAGATTATGCAAAATTACAGTCTTCTTTGGGAAGTTGATATCTCATAAATTCGCTTTAAATGCGAAGCTAAATAAATGGCGTCGTACGCTTCAGCAGCGTCTTTTATTGAGCCATTTTGTTGAACATATAAACTTTCAACGGTTTTTCAGTATGCGTATGTTGTGATGTTACGTTTATCTATTATTTCCCTAAATAATTTTTGTGTGTTGGAGATAGTTGACCAAAGACAAAATTAAAACAACGTAATTACTCGTTATTTGTTGAAATATTCAATTCACTTCAACTTCAGCTAAATAAATTAAGTTTGTATTTTTATGCAGGCCTGAAATTATACATATAGTCCTATGCTCAGTGTTAACTAAAATTATGCAAAAAAATAATTTTCTAATTATTTCTTACAAAATTTGTTTTGAATATTTAGCAAAAATTACATTAGACATTATTTACAGAATATATACTACACAGTTTCTTTGTCATCTATACATATTTATAAACTACATATTTGTATTAATCCAACAATGTACGCTCTGTCTGACAATCTGTGCGTCTGTTATATGCAGTTAATAATTTAATTCCGTCTTAAAGTGACCGAATTTTCCTTTATTATATTTTTACGTTATTTAAAGCAATGAAAGTTTTTAAAATATTTAAGTTTCTTTTTGGTCTTGCCTACAGAATAGACTATCCGTATAGTTGGAGTTTTATTGTTTTAGGTCGCAATACTGGGTAAAAAAAAGGATTTGGCCTTTAATTTAAAGACACTGTTGGAATGAATAAGCTATTCACAGATGAATAAGTTATCCAATAAGATATTCACAGATGAGGTGAACACAATTTATATTTACCAGGAGCATAACCAAACAAAATAATTTCAAAACCACATTTTTACACTTGTAATTGGATTGGCCGCTGACAAAATTTGATGTGAAATTTGTCACATCAAATTTTGTCAGGCTTGTCACATTCCTGTTTCTAAACATGAAGAATAGCGTAAAATCAATCAGACAAAGTAATTTTCATTTAACGAATTTAAATCATGATATTCTATGCATGAGGTTTATGTAATTGGCTTGAATAATCAAAATCTTGCATACTCTGTTTTAAAGATCAAATTCTTCCTGATATTTCCAGCGTATGAACATGAAAAATTGAAGCAAAAGAAAAATTTTAGTACTTAAAATTGTTTATAAACATCGTAAAACTCGTAGGTAGCGTTAAATATTTTGTAATGAGAAACGTGAAAAACCACCCTGCTTTCTTCCGGATTCGAAACACAGACGCTAGATGCTTGGATATTCTAATCAATGTTAACACTATCGCATGCACACAAAAACGCATTAATTTTTGTAAATTTTCATCGGAACCTCAGGCATTAAAATACTATTTCTAATTCTTTATATGAGAAACATTCATGTAGCATATCTTGATGCTCTTTTGACGGAAATTAAAAACTATTCAAATATTTGTTTTTATAAAATCAGCTTTATTAAAAAAAAAAAAAAAAAAAAAAAAAAAAAAAAAAAAAAAAAGAGATAGAATAGAACATGCGAATGGAATCTTTCAATTCGACAAACGAATGGAATCTTTTAGAATGTTGTAATTGTTTTAAAATAGATTGCGTTCAGGTGTAAGTAATCCACCATTCATTCATTTACACTCTAGCAGGAGCTGCTTAAATGCTTTCCAAGTTTGAATGCGATTAAAACGACTTCTTCAAGATCAAAATATCAAATCCTCCTTTCCACGAATAACTTTCAGCATCACGTACAGAAATCACAATGGGATAGGTTTAAGAAAACGTTAAATATCTAGATCCTTTTTCTGTAAGATTACTGTTTTCTTTATGAGAAATACAGGAAAAGGAGGTACGGATCATTTCCATACATAAATTCTCTTTTAGCATGAAATCAGCCATCTGACAGTAGTATATGTCGGTGGGAACGTATTTCTAAAACAATATACAGTGTTTCTTGATATCACATACGCCGTATAAAACATCAAAGAACAAAGCAGTATTTTAGGAGCGGGGAACATATCAAAGCAAAACCGATTAGATAAACAATTGTTTTTATGCTTTATATATTGAAGAAATATAATTATTTGACGATTTTATTTTAAAAGGATACTTCAATTTTGAATTTCAGAAGACTTTCTCAAAGATAAATAATTAGTCAGTTTTTCTAGAAATTTTAATGAAGTTTATCTTAAATTTACCCATAATAAATATCCATATCATCCTCTGTAATGGTTGTGAGTTTAATATCCAGCAGTAAAAAGCACTTAGTCCAGCATAGTTTTGTTTAAATAGTAAAGGAAAATTTAATCAGTATCTGTAGCCGTTGGATAGCAGTTTAAAAATTCACCCGCCCATTCACCAGACGGCACTGGTCGTTAATTTGCTACCCACCAGTAGCTACTTCTACGTAAATAATTTACGTACTTTAATGGTATTCATAATTGCGTTCCACAACATTGATTATGTCCAAATTATTCCTATTTAATGACAGGGACTGTATGCATTTTTGTGTAACTTTGTTCAACAGTATCATAATTAAATTCGCATGACTTTTATGAGTGAAATTAACAGGCTACTTCTATGTAAATACTCTATGTAATTTAATGGCATTCATAATTAGATCCCACAGCATTGATTATGTTAAAATTATTTAATGACATGTACTGTATGCATTATTATGTGTAAATTTGTTCAACTGTATGATACTTAAATTCGCATTACTGTTATGCATGAAATTAGCAGGTTACTTCTATGTACAGTAATGGTATTCACAATTGCAACCCACAGCACTGATATGTCTATAGTATTCTTATTTAATGACAAGCACTTATGCATTTGTGTGTAAATTTGTTCAACCGTGCCACACTTAATTTAGGTGTGTGTCACTGGGATACGTACCATGTCTGTTATGTATGAATTTAGCAGGTAATCACGATAGCAACTTAGGACTTAATTCCCTATTGCACACATTTCATTGTAACCGTATCATATGTGTCCTTATGCGCGTATCAAACTCAAGTATTTAAATGTAAGTTTTGATATGTATTACTACGCTAGCGCAGCGATAAGCCCTTGTATGGCCATGTATTCTTTGATTAGAACCAATAAATACTAGGCCTGGGCAGCTGGCTGGGAGTGCACCCTTGCCGGTGGATTGGTCAGCAGAACTGCAAATGGGACGGTCTGGGCGCTTCGTGACCTCCGCGTGGTCAATTGGTCAACTCTAGATAAGGGCGGATATTGTGCTACTGCCGGTTAACCTTAACGGTGGAGGGATGGTGCCCACGTCCTCCGTTTCTACTAACAACCAGCCGCTCGGGCTGCCCGTCGCAGTGGGACAATACGCAGCGAACCCGGGGACGCTACCCCCTGCCTACTAGAACCACGCCGCGCTAGGACGTGCCAGACCACCGGCCCGGCCAATAAGTGACCTTTCCGGGGCCTTCAGAGCCACCAAGTTCATAAATCTTATACCCTCATGGCCGAGACTGCCTAGGTGCAGATTCTAGCCAATAGCTTTGCAGAGTTCTCTACGTCAACCCCCGGGGGAGCCAAGCATACCAAGAGTTATAATTTCCAGCATTCAGCGGAGCCTAGCCTATATCTCCAGGATGTTTGATCCCGAGTAAAAACGATTAGACGATCACTGGCGGAACGTGCACTTCATTTTCGACATCTCTTACAATGTCTACCGCTCACCGCCAATAATGCTTGTGGTGTCGAGCCCGGGATAGACTGAATGTACCTGACTGGTCTCGTTTTCAGAGATGAACCTCGAGAAGCTTCTATAGGACTTTTGAATTATCTTGTTCACTTGTGAGATTCGAGACAATTTGTTTTAAATATTAAGAATATAAAAATGTAAGTTATATTGGGAAAATAACAGAAAATAAATTAGAAGTAACGCAAAAAATTTTAGTAATCAAAAAATTTTATTGTAAAAATATAATACTCAAGTATACAAAAAAATCATAAAACTAAATATCACACAACTTAAAAATCAACAAAAAGTATTTAATACATTAAATTGGCCTTTAAATAAGTCAACATATCATTGAGGTATAATTGAGGTATCGTATATTATACAGAATGACTTAATCATAGCAACGCAAAAACTCAGGTGATTTATTTACATTAATTTATTTTTATTTTTGAAGTAAATTTGCATATCCAGCAGGATAAATTTCATAAACTGAACATTCTGGACATACATGGGGCGATAATATAGGTAGGCTATTGTTTTTTTATTATTAAACTAAAATTTTCGTATTCGAGATTAAAATGTTTCGCCTGTTTTTATAACAGGCGTCTTCAAACCTAGCTTTTGAAATTTTCGTCTTTGACAGTTAACATTTCATAAACTTCAAAAGTCCAGTGTATGAGACCCCTGAACACTGCTTGTCAGATGAGGACGCTAATCAAAGCAATTGGTCTGGCTATATGTGTATTATCGAGGTTTTCTTTGAAAAAGACTTTCACAACAAACTCCCTCAATTTAAGCCAGGTAGCATTTTACATATTCAAATATAAAATTCGGTAATGTAATTTCATCGATTCAGATTATTTTGAATAGTTTTTACAACACAAAGAAATTTGCATATGGAACAAGCATGCATTTATGCTAAGCAGTTTTATTGTGCTTTGTGGGTATTGCTTTGTGGGTAATGTAATTTCATCGATTCAGATTATTTTGAATAGTTTTTACAACACAAAGAAATTTGCATATGGAACAAGCATGCATTTATGCTAAGCAGTTTTATTGTGCTTTGTGGGTATTGTTTTGGAAATACAACAGCATGAATTTAGTAAGCCAGAGAAATAAGTAATCTTCTTACCTCTGGTTAAGAGCAGATCCAGAAATTTTATAAAGTAATGCAATTCAAATGTAAATGACATTCTTTCGCAAAGAGTATCATATTAACATCACTACAATCAGAATTTTTAAAACAAGCATTTCTCGACAGCCTTACCGTAGGTTTGCAAACTGGAGGCTCAGCGTTGCAAACCACGTAAGGTAATGCTATATTGTAAAGCAATATTGTCAGATTGGCCCAAGGATTGCCTTTATTTTTATCTTCCCTGTCATCCCTGACGCTCATTTATTGGAGGTTGAACAACGTGTATCAGATCCTACTTGACTGTTTAGCCTCAGAAACCGCATAGCTAACATTCAACTCGGAGCCAACGTTCAACTCGGAAATGTTTTCTTGCGGGGCAGTATTTTAGATCCTTCATGAAGATCGCTATTTAAACAGTATTTATTAAATGAGTTTATATAATTACTTATTTTAATCTGTATTTTCATAAACTTACATTCATTAAGACGATATTTACATTATTAAAGAAAGTAAGGAAGCAAAATATCTTAAATTATAAGCTAATATATGCCAAGTAGCAAAACTTCTGATGACCGGATAAAGCCGGTCATAACGTTCAGAGGGTTAAGCTAACCTTCTACTGCTTTCTGGAATCGGAGACCTGCATCAAACACCCTCGTTTAAAACTATGAATATAATAATAGGAATAATTTTGACTAACGTGTTTATGGTTTTCAGCGCACATCCCAGTAAACGTAAGTTATTTCTAGCCAAAAAGTTTGAAAATAATTCCAGGCACAAACTCTTGAATCTTTATTATAACCCTTATATGTATATTCATGTTAATTACCAAGGTTGCATTACGCAATAATTGCTTTCAAGGACACAACGGTAAAATATTTTTCTATGTGATTAAAACTTATATTCATTGCTCTTTTAATCAATACAATCTGTTTATTATTTGTGAGTACTGATAAAACAAATACACTGTATAGCTACCTATGTATGCACTACGAATCAGCAAAATTATTGCATCGAGAAAAGCACTACGAATCAGTAAAATTATTGCAGCGAGTTTAATTGTGAACATCGTTTTTATAAAAATGTAGAGTAATAATAACTACGTAATACTTACATTTGTCTGAAATATAAGCTTCCGTTAGTGATATAGAGTGAAACAGCAAAATATAGCAAAACCTCATATTCGTAACTTCGGCGTGCAGCTGACAATATTTTTTTAAATGCTTTAGAGAAAAATTTTTCTATTGCAAAGTTATTCTGATATGTGTGTTAATCTAAGGCATAGTTTATACTAGTTATAATACTTGACAGCCTATTTTTTCTTATCAGAATAATATTATTTTGCTAAATTAATTATTAAAATTTTGTAGTGTAATTAACGCAGAAATTTAGTCATTACCTTAATAAGTAGCGCTTGGCTCACTTCTGTAACCCCGAATATATATTGTTTAGTCTCAGTTTAGTATTTGTATTGAATTATTTATACCTTGGCAAAGCACACGAGGGCTATCTGTGTAGAGGTTTAGCCTTCACGGTGTGTCTTTTGAACTAAACTGGCTCGTATTCAGATTACAGACTGGGAAAACCTCGAAAATGTCCATGCAGCCAGCTCGTTCCTCGAGATCTGAACTCGAATCAAATTACTAGGGTCAAACGTTTTCACTCTATTACTCAATCCGCTTACTGGCTTGACGAAAAACTGTCGACATAAACTGTCTGAAAGCTTGGTTGCCTTTTTAAAATTACTTTTTATTCTATCCTCCCTCCTTTTTATTCCCATGCTCAGAAGCCATTCTTATTTAAATGGAAATATTTCTTTAAAGAAATAATTTTTTTTTTGGAATAACTTTTGGTTCGTTAGTTCTTTAATTGTGAACTATTTATTTAAAGCAAGATAACAGAAGGCAACTACACTTTAATCTGAAATTAAAATGTGACCCATCGGTTAGAGGATTTAGTTATACTATTATATATTATTTAGTTAGGATGTTAGAGGATTTCCTGGAATAAAAGGGCGACAGAGTCCAGATCGTGGATCGTATTTTTCTCCTTCGCAGCAGATTTTATTCGGCTCTGGAAAGCACATTTTCCCATGTATATTGAATATGAAACGTAAAGGAATTCTTTTACCACGACCAGCATCATGTATATAATTTAAACAGTCCTCAAATTCTTCTTCTTTACACAGCTGCAAAATTTCTGCAGCAGTCATCCCTGTAGCTAACAAAGTTTCGACAATCGCTGGTTGACATTTAGCCGATGTCAAAATTTCATAATTGCATTCTGCACAATGCAGGTTCTTGTACAGCTTACCATTTACATAAACAGGATCCGAATAAGACTCACACAGTTGAGATACAGAAAGATTTCTCCATGTAAGAGAACAGCGGAAGATTTCTGCAGTCAAAATGCAAGGTCTCAATTCTAAACTGTCGAGAAGTGTGAAATCATTATTTTGAGAGTAATACTCGCAGTGCCGCTTCTTCTGAGAGATAGTTATTTGACCATGATCCTGAGGCCTCCATTTGGACGAAGACAGATCTTTTGGAATATTTTGCTGTTCACACCTAAATGTAAAAAAGAAAGAATGAAGATGGTTAACTAAATGCTGCATTGAATAAATTTTATTCAGAATTTATATATGTGAAACATATCGAGTGTAAATTTATGGTGTAACATATACAGTGCATTAAGTAAATTAAGGAGTATTTTGGAAGATTTTTCATATTCTATCTAAATTTAAAAAATAAGAACGGAATATGTTTATCTCTATATTGTGTCGAATGAATTTTCTTCAAAATAAGTACATTAAAAGTTTGTCTTTCTAAAATTTCCATTAGTGAATAAAAACAACAAATAATTAAATGCTTACATAAAGAGCAAAGAAATTATTCTTATATAAAAGCCCAAAAATTCGGGAAATGACGAACAACATCTAACAGGTTAATTGTTGTCATATTCACTATAGTATCAACTAAGTCATATTCATTATACCTCTGAATAGTACTAAATATAACAGAATATTAGACTGAGTTGTGGAAATAACAAAAACATTTGTCACCTTTGAAAGACCTTTCAGCCATCCTATGGTTTTCTTCGATCTACTTTGCGAAATTTACGATCAAAATGCTCATCCGCGTCGTTCTCTTCATTTTCGCAGCTTAAAGATTCATTGAGAAAGGATGGAAAGATGTGACAATTTTCTTTCTTCTTTTTCCTTCATTTTCCAGTTTTTTTTTGGGGGGGACGAAATAATTCAGATTTTAGGAACAATACTGCATGATTTCAGTTGCTATCCCTTTGACTTCTGTAAACTTTTTGAGCAAACATTTATAGTCTCATTGAGTTTTGAGTCTTCAAATTTAACTTCAGTATTTTCTTTGAAATGAGACAGAAAGAGGGCTATGCCACTTCTTTGAATTTTAAGTCGTTAATGAGTTTGTTTTAACCTATCTGAATTTTAATTTTAGTCATAAATGAAATGTTTTAATTTTTGATTATTGCTATTTATTACAGAGATTTTCTAAACTTCACTTCTTCCTTTCGGATTTAAATTGTCGTTGTCGTTTATAACTGCAGTACGTAAGTTGAGCCCATTTTGTCTTGAGAAAATGCATTTTTAAGTCTTTACATATTTCTTAGTCTGTTGATTGAAATCCGAATAGCAGGCGCTTTTTTTTAAACTTTTAAAATTTATTCTCCTTTTGCATGTTTGCTTCTTTTGCTTGCTATTCCCGTTTTTATGAGAACTTAAAGTTTTGGAATGCATTTAATTAAAAATTTTTTAAAAAATTATTTAATAAACTGAGACTTATCTTCGTATAAAAAGCGTACAGGCAGTATTTTCAAAGACAAACGGGCAAAAACTTGTCTGAGGACAATATTAAAATTTATTGTTGGTTTCCTATCGATGTCTTTATTGCGAAATGTAAATGCTTTTTAAAAGTTAAAAATTCCATCAAGGAAAATTGTTAGACTTCAGGAACACAATAATTACGAAACATTAAGCGGTGATTAAACAGGAAAGGAAAACATTAGGTATAAAGTGTGATATTTTGCAATGAGACACAAACTTAGAATTGGCCTTATAAACTGACGAACTGGCACGTAATATTTGTAACCGCAGATAGACTAGCATATTTTAGAATTAAAAATTTCTTGTGTGACCAAGAAACTTTCTGATAGGTAGCTTGCATATCATACGTAAATAAGTGTTGCTTGAGTATTACGACACAGAATATGACATGTTTTACCTCTAACAGAGTAACAATGTACGATTGGCCAAATGGTTTGAATCCCCATTTCCTTGCGTATCATACGGCAATGAGTATTGCTTGAGTATTATAATACAGAGTAAGCTACTTTTTACAACTAACAGAATATAGTGAAGTAACAATTATGCTGTACAATTAGCCAAATGGTTTATAATTCCCATGTTTGGTACAAATAGTAGTTACGTGGCGATGCAGCGAAGTACTAACAGACAACATTGTTGCCACGTACGTTGACAGGCACTTTATATGCCAGAACAATTTATCTTGTCGTAGCAAAAAACAATTCATTAGCAGCAATTTGCCAGAAAATGCATTACATCTCTGGAAACAGGTGTTCAAATGGAAGAAAGAGTATTGTGAGATTGCCAGCACTTGTACATCAAATTTCAGAAGACGCGTGACATGACACTCTCAAATTAATATTTAAAGAAATGGGCCAAAAGCACTTAGTCCGGTTTTCAATCCAGCACATATATTGTTCATCCCCTGGAATGTTTCTTCAGTTCTATATGCAAATTATAACCCACGACCCCCGTTCCTTATCCTTATCCTTATGCGTTACATAAGCAGCCCTCTTATCCGTAAATCTAACGCAGGCATTACGTACTTCTAGTGCACAAGCCAGTTTGTCCCATCACATTACAGTGTCGCTGTTGACGAAACAGATGTTACATTTGCTAGTCTGTGCACACAGAAATTGCAGGTGTGCAAGCCATTTTATATGGTCTGTTCTGGAGGATCTGAAAGATCGCAAAACTTCATCCTGTATAATTGTTTAACAGCCCTGCAAATTTCATCACGTTTGTTAGTAAGGAAGTCCGAAAGTTTTCTTTATAAGAAGGCTAAACCTATGATTTCTAATGTGAATTTATTTATCAAAATGCAATTGGTCTCAGATTTCCTGTAAGAACATTTAATGTTGGACGCCCATGTTTCCAAAACGTCAAAAGTTCATCCGTATACATTATTCAGGTATTAGTGCCCCCCTCCCCCAAGAAAATGAAAAATGCGGTCTTCAAGGGGCTTAGTTAATTCAGCGAAGACTCCAGAAAGGAGTGATCCCATAGTTACATGATGTAATAATATTGTGGGATCATTCCTTTTGCATATTTAATACGTTACTCCTGAAACTAAAGAAAGTGATGCCATGAATAAGAATGAAAGAATTGTGGTCTTTTTGGATACATGTTAAAGGCAGGATTGGTTTATATATTCGCTTATGTTGTTGACCGTTCTTTTTGTATCAGCAAAGGAATAAATTGAAATTATATCAAAACTTAACAGAAAGTCTTCGTTAATTTTAATGTCTTGTATTTTTCCAAGCAAGCACTTATTTGAATGAATAGCTGCATTACTTGGCGAAATCAACTTAGTATGTTCATTAATGATTGTTGGTGAAATACATACGTGTCTACACATTTTGCTACAATTGGTTTTAATCTTAAATCTTTATTATGTTTCTTTAGTCTTTCAAAGATTATTTATATGTTTCTTTGATTATTTATATGTCTCTTTGATTATTTATATGTTTCAAAGATTATTTATATGTTTCTTTATTATGTTTCTTTGTCTTGTATTTTTCCAAGCAAGCACTTATTTGAATGAATAGCTGCATTACTTGGCGAAATCAACTTAGTATGTTCATTAATGATTGTTGGTGAAATACATACGTGTCTACACATTTTGCTACAATTGGTTTTAATCTTAAATCTTTATTATGTTTCTTTAGTCTTTCAAAGATTTTAGGTACTGCTGCAGAACTGATTTTGAAAACAACGTTTTTAACACAGCTGGAATAAAATCCAGTCTTTCCAACAGCATTATTTATGAAAATCTTATTAATTTCAAAACCAAAAATCTCAGTTCCATTAGATATATCGGTGTGATGTACTACAATTCTAAAAGTTTAATCTTTTAAATCAGTAGAGTCAAAATTGTCATGCGTATTATGTACTATTTATGGAGGAATAATATTTTCCTAACATTAACTATACTTCCAAATAAACAGCTCTTTTAAAACAAACTATATGAATTTTTCCAAAAAAAATAAGAATGTTTTCTCGCATTAATAGGATTGCTGGTAATGCATACTTAGGTATGATATTCATTTGTCTGACGAGAGACATTTCTATTCCTTTTTGAATGTTTGCATACTTAATTCTTTTTACCGAATATTCCGTAAGTAGTCTAAAACAGTAATAAGAAACGTTCATCTATGGATCTACCATTTACCGCTTCTTATTTTTTATATTTTTGCTTAAATCCTTTGTCGCACTTTAATTCTTATGTTTAAAATATGCCTTACATTTATTAGCATATTGCTTACAATTAGCATTTAATTTTATTTGTAAATATTCAAGTGTTTGTATTGTTTATTTTATCTTTATAACACATTTCATTGCACCTTATTTTACTTATGTTAATATTTTCACGGAACCACAGTATCTAAGCAACTTTTTAGCGTACGAACTAGGAATTTCCTTTTAACTTTTTATCTCCTTATGTATAGTAAAAATATCTTCATCTCTTTCAAAACGGTAACAAATTTAAACCTATTTTTACCTATAATTTTATTTCAAAGTATTCCCAACTAATAAGGTACCGTTTTATTTGGGAGAGTGGGGTTCAAATCAAATATAGTATACATAATTTATGAAAACATCCTCAACAGCATGAAACAACATCATTGGAAATCAACTGATATTGAAAGAAGGTGAATTAATTTGACCCATAAAAAATTGCAAAGTTTCTCAGAGATTGTTAAAACTTGTTAAATCTTTAATCTTCCTCTATCTGATTTAGGTCAAAATGCACGTACTCATATTTTAGCAGTCATGGAGCGGAGGATTTTTCTATAAAAATAAAATTATTCTAGGTTATTCTAGGTGTTTCTTAGTAAATATTTAAAAGATTATTTTTAAAGCGTTTATTTTCAAAATTATTTTGTAGAAATATTTATTTTTTGCTTATTTTGATATTTGCCAATAGACTGTTTAATCTTTGCTGACATACTTCTGAAAGAATAATGTGAAATTCTGTTGAGGTACGTGGGATTTATGTTGTTGCAAACACAGAAATTATATAGATTAAATAAAAATATAAATTTCTAGCAACTCACTGGTATTTTAACGCGAACCATTTCATGTGAAAAAACACATAATTTCATCTTTCTAAAGATTAATTAAAATTTCAGTTGTTTCGCTTTGCATTCTTCCTAATAGTAGTACTTTTATTAAATAAAATATGCCTTGCTGTTACGCAACTAACTTCGCAACAACAAGAAAACGCCTTCTTTTATTATTGCGAATTAAATCATGCTTAATCTATCCTGGAATTTATTCGAGGGAATTGAGTGAGGATTGATTTAATTAAATGAGAAATACTGAATCGTCTGTGAAAAAATGTTTCTTTTCTATTTTTGGGGTGTTTGTTTAATTTTTTATACATCGTTTTAGATTTATTATAATATTTAAATAGAACATGTAGCAGCGATTAGGTAATTCTTCAGATGATATAAATGTTGTGTATTATGAATGATAAAATGAATTAAATGTAACGCTGTTAAGAGAACTTAGCGTAGCGCCAGAGTGTCACTATGGTTAACAAATATAGTGAATTTTAAAAAGTGCATTTTTTCTATTGTGGCTTATACGCTATCAACAAAGTAGCTTTAATTCAATCCAATAAGTTTAAATGAAATGCAAGAAAAAGTGCGTATAATTTAATATTCCGTACAAGGAAGTCATGTGGTGTCTATGTTACGGTGAAAGGCCGAAATCTGGAGAATGTCGACTTTCACCGGTGAATGTCAACATTCACATAGTCTCTTGGTGTATGTCCGAAATATTTTCCAAATACTCTTATTTTTGACTTACACCGGTCAATATCGACATTCACCATGTACTAATGGTGAATGTTGAACATATAACAATATTATATTTTCTTCTCCGTAATTCAGTCGCGAATAAACGCACTTGAGACTTGAAATAAGAACTTAAGAACATGAGAACGTAAAACACACAATACATTCAAAATGAGAAAGGAAAATAACAGAAGTTAAAAACTTACTTAATTATACAGTACGTTCTAAATGAGAAAATAAAATAACAGTAATAAAAAAATTAATAAATTATGTGATTAAAATCTTATTTATTGCAACAACTTAAACTATTACGGCACTTTATGACCTCGCCTTTCGACTTACACCAGATCATATCTGTGATTGTCGACATACGCTGGTGAGGGTCCGAATATACAAGAATGTAGTGCAATATTCGAACTTTCATCAACGTATTTGGTGAATGTTAACACTCTCCTTTGAAAGTCGATATTCTCCAATTTCGGTCTTTCACGGTAACATATACATCAGATTTTTTATTTTTATACGGCACCAGTGTTAAAGTCAGCCAGTTTAGATTCAAGTACAAATTTCACTGAATTTAATTTCCCGAATATAGCATCATCATAAATTGTAAAATGAAAAGGTTAAGGGAAAAATACGCAAAGTGGAGAATTATACGAGTAAATACGTTATATTATTTAACAAAAGATAAGAACACATCTCAATCAGATGTTTATGAAATAAGCATTCGCTATTCTTAACTTGCTTCATTAGATCTGATCAAAAAGATTAAAATTTTTCCCACCGCTTATTGTTTGCTTATTTCTTAATTGAAAGTAAACCAGTGAAGGAATTGTAGAATAACACTCTTCTTGCCTGCTATACCTATGACAAGACGCTAGCCGTCAAATCTATGAATTCAAATCGTGCACTTACCAAAATACAGAAGAAAAATCCCCGATATTGAGAAATGGTGTAGCAGGTGGAAGCATCCAGTCAGAGAAATCAAAGATCCTGCTAATAAGGAAGCACAGGAAAAAAGCAATAATTAACTCTGAAGTCAAATTACTTGGTATTTAAATCCTCAGGGTTGAGAATGCAATTTAGTTAGGGGTCAGCCTAAATAAAAATTTCACATGGGCCGATCACATGCACAGAGTCAATGGCAAAGCAATCGTATTTCCTTTTCAGCTATATCCTCTGTTGAATAGGGAACATCTGTCACTCAACCTTACAAAGATCTTTTTTTATTTATTTATTATTAGTTTTATTTTTATGGTATATATTATGAAACATGTATGTATTACGGCCCACTGTATATATTCTGAAACATGTATGTACTATGACCAATGAAAATTATTATGAACTACTATGTATGTATTATGTAGCAGGCTTAATATATTATGTACTATGTAAGCATGTATATGTATGAACTACGTATGTAAGCATGTATATGTATGAAGTATGTAAGCAAGCATTATGTAAGCAAGATCTATGTATTATGAACTACTTGTATATAAGCATGTACTATGAACTATGTAAGCATATATTATGAACTATGTAAGCATGTATACAGGACCAACGTATGCCCTTATAGTCCCCATGAGGTGTTGCCCCGGATAGTTGCGGAACCTGGACTAGACCCGAATAGTCTTAGTAAGCCGCACGGGTGTCCAGATTCTGCTCTCAACTCAACTCAACTCAACCTTACAAAGAGACTTTATCTCTCGGTCATCCGACCGATAGTCACGTATGCGTCTCCAGCTTGGGCAACAGCTAGTGATAGTGAAGTTAAGAGACTGCAAGTACTTCAAAGCAAGGTGTTATGTATCATCACCGATGCACCGTACTATGCAAGAAAGCAGATTCTGCACTCGGACTTTAATATCGAAACCTTTCCGGACTTCAGTCCCAGAATGAACGAAAATTTCTTCAATAAATTCATCTGCAATAATGCTTCAAATTTTGCAGGCATCTTAGCATACGAGATTCTAGCAGAAGACAAGAGATACCGCCCATCTCCTAAAATAAGATCACGGACCAATCAAGGGTACCTCCCTCTTTGAACACATCGGCCTAGGGAGAAAATCACACTACGGGTTCATAACCGTCAGATCCAACTTGAAATACATCAAAGAACTAGTAAGAGCAGGCCAATACATCGCCTGCTGGAAACCTGTGTAACCCCGAAGTTCCATTGCAGAATATAATACTTTATAGATAATTATTTCCATCTGCAAAGTTAAACTAATGAAATTAATAAACCATAGCTTTCAAATTCCAAATGTATATATATAAAAAATTCGTGAGCTTTTTTAAATGTTTTTAAACAAATTGTCTTACCTATATTCGACATTCCAATACTGCAAATCATAATCATAGTTGCAAACAGCACAGAAGATATTAGCGTATGTCACACCAGAGGTCTTACTGGTTACCGGGGGTAAAGTACTGGAACTACAGACGAGGTCCATTTCTTTCATTTCAGGGAAACAAGTTGATACAGCTAGAAAGCCGCCTCTACCCTTTACACGCAGACATTTCAAGCTTGTCTTCTTCCATATTGTATCTATACGGGAATTTGAAAACATTTTCAATACACATGTAAAGACAGGCCATATAGCTTTAAAATAATCTAAATAACACCTTTTTTTAAATGTAAGAGGGAAAGTAAAAAAATTTCGCTCTTTTGTTTTCAATTTATTTCCGCAAAATAAGGTTTTGAGCAAGTATGTTATTTCTGTATAGTCTCTGCCCTTTATGATCCACTTAGTCTTCATATGTTCCCTTAAAAAAAGCCCTTTTATTGGACAAGTAAGCATTTATGTATCGCTTTCGACATTTTTTAAAAGTACATAATCGACGAGCTTGTAAAGCATGTTTGAAAGATCCAAAGAGAGGATTTTCGGAAGAGGTAAGATTTTGGCTATATGCAAAGTGTTTCAGACTCTTGAAATCCAAATGGTTAATCATTATTTAAGCAGACTGGCATAACTGGGTGATTTCGCATTCTCATGCGACAGGCTTCTGAATTCAGCCGTGACTAATATGCCGATCACATGCTCCTTTTTGATACCAATTCAACAGTTCTCCATTACCATTTTTGAGCTTAATGATTATTCTCATGAAAGCTGAAGGTTGACAAACGTCTTGCTTCACCTTCTTGAATTTTGAATCAGGCTTGTTCGGCCACTTACCGATCCATTTATATACATTTCTGTGTGGTAAATCATTGTCCCCGTATTGCGCTGGAAGCCTCTGCTGAACTTCGATCCCTGAATACTTTACGATAGAAAAATTGGGTCACCCTGATGCAATTTGGTAGCAAAACGGCCATATTAAATTGTCTCATTCATTAATAAGAAAAATGATTCGATGAAGTTCAAACATTGATTACGAAATCATAGAAAGCGCTGTAACGAACCTAAATATGTGTTATGGAGAAAGTGCGTACGTATGTAGCTTTGAGATTTCAGAGACTACAGAATTACATGAAACCAAAGATAGGTCAAAATTATACGTTTGATATGTTTTCAATAACAAGAAATTAATAAAGTCTCTAAACTATTGAAAACAATCTATTTAGTCAAAATGAAATCGAAATTTCAGATGCATAGAGCCCACAGCAGAATCTTCTTAAAGACTGTCCCATGCAATGATATCAGCACTTCATTGTGAAAGGTAAAACACTTTATGAGAGTTACCCTCAACTGGTTACATACTACGTTTGAAGACATAAAGTATATATTACATATATCTGAACACTTTCACCCTATTCATTACAAGTATTTGTTTTAGTAAATGGGTATTTGATGATTTTCTTTTTTAATCAAATATAATTACAAAACTAGTCACCTACCTTTTATATCGTGTTGTTCAAATTCGAGTACAAAGGTGATTTTCTCCGATTCATGAGATATAATTATTTCACATCAAGACGAAGCTAAAATGGAAACTTCTTTCCTCTTGTAATTTTTACTTTTAAGTAAAATTTTTCGAGAGGAAAGTCTCAGTCAGCTTATTAATATTTATATTGTTTAAATTTTCGGCACTGAAGAATTTAATTTATATTTTGAAGCAAAGGAAAATTGAAAGTTAAAAAAATAACCATATCCTACCACATTACACCAGCTGCATACATTTAAAAATATATTTAAGGTAAAGAGGAAAAATATATAGAAAGTGGTGAAAAATATAGTAAAATATTATTATTCAGCTCTCCCTATCTCCCTGGACTTACCTTGGAGTGAAGAAACTATCATCCACAGCGTCTTAAACACAGAGACTTAAGCCTTTCAAAGTACCCTTAGCTTGAGGCCAGAAAGTAAGCACCTCTAATTTTCCTCTTACGACATGTTTACCTTCCTCCTTACGAGAAACTGACTGCGAGCAACCAACGTCTTAAAAGAAAAAGTGCTTTGTTCGTGACATTCAGTTTCTCGAAATTCCAACACAGATTTGAAATTCATTCCCTATAATTTATTATAAGTAGGTACGGCGTTTCTTCGAAGAATTTATAAAATCTTTGGTTTCATTATACAGTGTTTCTCAAACCTTTTACAAATCGGGTCCATTTTTATAAGTTAGAATATTTTTCTGACCTCCTTATTCTTGTCCTCTTAGAAAGCAATTTTTTAACAAACATCACTATAACTATACTTATATATTAAAATATTAAGTACCTAAATTTAATTTAACTTTATATCGAAATTAAATAATTAAATTAATAGAAGAAAATTTACATTACGTTTCTAATAATTCAAGAATATTAGAATTTGAATAATCTTTATCTTCTTAAACGAAAATGAAATAAATGCTGATATTCACATTAATAAGAAGGATGCGAATCCTCTTCTTACACAACTGTTCTGTGTCTGGATGTATATTGGTAAGTTTAAGTCTTAGGTCAGCACGCATATCAAGTCGATTTTAATATTTTGTTTTTATTTGAGTTATTAAAGCACAGAGATGTAGAAACAAACTGGATTATAAATTTTAAGGCACAGTTTTACAGTTCATTGTTTTCCGTTTTCTCTGGTTATGAGCGCAGCAGTGCTATATTTACAGCAAAACGATGACAAGAAACGTCACAATCATAGTGCTTTAAATTGCTGTTTTGTTGCAATGACTAGAGTGGGAAGTTCATAGGTATGACAACCGGTAATTAATTTCGTAAAATATCATTCTTAAGTGGAAAACTAGTAGTCGAGTGCCATGGGTAATTTTCAGACTCTCAGATTTTCAGCTATCGTATGGCTTATGCAGTTAATTTGAATTTCATTATTTTTGTCATTTTTTAGATACTTAGGAGGAAAGGCGGCCGCAGTAGACGTCCCATTCTCAGAGACATACAAAAACTATTAATTTCGATTCCTGAAAGTCCGAGGCCTCAGCTACAATGGGTTCCAGCCCATACGGGGATTAAAGGAAATGAAGCAGCGGATATGATTGCGAAGGGAGCAGCCAATGAACCCCACGTGAATAGCATTGGTGTGCCCCTTCCGCACTTGTATCTGAAATCTACTCTCAAATGTGAACTAATGAAGCAGTGGCAAAACTACTGGGAGAAAAGCACCACAGGCAGAAGACTGTCTGATTTCCAACCAAAAGTTAACCACAATTTAAATAGCAGTTCTTCGCACCTCACACAGTATTTGACAGGGCATGGCCCATATATGTCCTATCTTCACAGATTTCGCCTAAGAGAGAGTGACCAATGTATTTGTGGCAGTATTGGTGACCCAGATCATTATCTGTTTGATTGCTCGCACACGGGAAATTCACATTTGAAAAGACCAACTGCAATCAATATGCCAGCATGGTTTAAGAACACAATTAAGAATAAATATGCGCTCAGCCGCATTAGAGACTGCACTGCCATTGCTAAAAGCATTGCTGACAGCCTGGAGTGACTTCTTTCCTTGGACACCATGCCGTCAGCAGCCCGCTCTGTACATATATATTAATTTACTTAATGTCTTGTTTTTTTTTGTTTTTTTTTGCTGCTGTTTTTTTAATTATATTTAATATTATGACTTAATCCAGAACTCATTTAATGTATTCCACAATTTGTAATGTATTTGGTCATCTTTACATCTGTACCTGATTTTTATAGCACATCCTTAATATAACTGTATGCCTAACATGTACGATAATAGTGAAATGTGTTCCGCTTAGTCTCAGCAGTCCCCACCATGCACCTTTTTCCCATGTTCTGGTCCTCACTTCAATGTTCCTCGTTTCGTGGCCAATCCCCGGAGGACACAGTACTAAGCTCTTTATTTATATTTATTCATGTATTTTTACAATTCCATCGACGGGATCCAACAGGCTGAAAAGCACCTAACCCAGTGGGCCAGCTGTTCCGTCGATGGTGAAAAGAAAGAAAGATACTTAGGAGGACCACAAGAGCAGGCTTCGAGAACCATTTGTGTTTCTCTGATCACAGATGGAGAAATGCTATCATAATATATGTAACATAATTGTGGAAAATGTATAGAATTATATATGTCATATCGTAACTATACAAAATAACCCCGACAAAATAGTCTATGGTAAAATAGCTTAAAGTTAACTGTAAATATCCCTAGTTTCAGCTCTAAAAACCTTTTACGTGAATATCGACATTTTACATCATTAGATAAATGTCACATTCAGCTTTAGTATCTAAAAATTGCTGAACATATTTCAAGGCATGTAAGACCATAAAAACAACAAAATAAGTATTTATTGACACTCAAGTTTCGAGATTATTGCTATGTTTAGCTCCTTAGGTACTTTTCTTGCGCAAAACCTATAAATCATATAACAATTATAATTTAGGAGATATGGAAGAGACTAACAAACTTTGATGTGCCACGATAAACTGTATATGGAAATTTTTACTGTGGCACTCTACTTGGCAAATGTTTGTGAAACAATTTTGAATATATAGGCCTATCTGCCAGCATATGCAAATACGTATATATACAACATCAGATTTGAAGGTCCATATGTTTTGTAATGCATTTACATGCAAGAGGCAATTACTGGTTTATACATATGCCGTTGCACACTTTTATGTCGCTTGATATTCAGATATTTAATATATAATATTATCTAGTATTAGATATCTAATATTTGGATGCTAAAAATGTAAAATTTATTTCTAAGACCTAATTAAAAAGCTTTGAAGGCTATTTTTAGGGGTATGATTGCATATATATTGATCCGTCTTAAACAACAAACTTATCAGCCGAGGAAGATTAAATATTCATTTTTATTTTAATTGATATTTCTGGCCACAATTCACTTGGCCCTAAATCGTGTCTGGTTAAAACATTTGCATTTTTGATAGCGTAAGAATAGGCGCAGCAAGCAGCTAACTAGGTACACCGAGATGCAGAAAGCAAATGCGTAGTTATACAGTTTAGAAGCTTAGGTTTCTGTTTAGGTTTAAGAGAAAGGTTTCGGTTCCCGAGATTTTGAAATCAAAATTAACTACGTCATCATCGTTACATAAAAGCCATATGATATGGCACAGTCCTGAAATATTATGTCGCAGTCCAGAAAATGAAAATGAAAATGACGCAGATTAGAAAAGATATTACTGAGAGAGAGGAAATATCCAAATTAATGAAGAAAGGGACTATTGCTAATTTAAGTTATAATTTTGATTTACGGAGTTTTTATCTTATATATTTATGATATAATGTAATATAACATGATAAATAATATTAATAAATTTATAGTCTTTTCAGATAACTATAACTTAATGAGTCAAAGTGGGAAGCCGTAAAAAGCACACTAACTTTTACAACAGGAAACATTAAGCCAAAATATTCCAAGAAGTGAAACGAACTGTCTTCCATATCCTAACATCTCTTGAGGGTTTGGTGCAGAGATAATAAAACGGCACAGCCACGTTTCGGAAATGCGTAATATATAATTTTATAAAGTAAAATATTTTTATAATTCAACGATTTCTTACAATTTACACAAAAAATAAGAAGTAGCTAAACTCTCCTAAAATGTAGCCCAAATACTACGTGTCTGATAATGGAAAGTATGTGTCCGCTTGAACCGAAATTACAAAACAAAATTGTCAAGCGCGTTGACCTAAGCTCCACCGAAAATGTGATGTATAAGTTACTTTATTCAGTGAAATAGAACTAAAATGCCTAATTCAATAAATGCAAAAACTTGTGCGTCTTAGTTTTCCAAGAACTGAGTATTACTCTGCCCCTATAAACTTTGCTTAAAACAGAGAGAAATTCGGGGGGTGAAAATGAAGGAAAGGTAATGGGAAAGGTTTTCTTGTTATGCTAATAACCTAAGCATATAATTTTTTTAAGTTTATAATTTTCAATTAAAATTTTCAGAAATTGAAGAAAAAATTATAAAAATTACAAAAGCAAAACCAACCCGTGATATTCATAATGTTCGTTACATCTGATTTTGAGATGTTTGGAAGTTAGCTGGTAACCATGTAAAGTAACGTTAAATATATAGGGAACTAGACGGGACCAAAACGTCAGTTATAAAGAAAGATTGCTACAGCGATGATGATTGTATTTAAAAATGCACAAAAGGTATCATGCCTTTATGCAGTTTCGAATGCATAATACATTAATCGATAAATTTGGCTAGACAATTAAAAACTTTTTTAAATGAAATTGTAAGGATCTTAAGATTTACTAACGTTTATTTTATTTTAAATCTTTACTATCACTTCTTATTTTCTACTTCCGGCCAGAATTAAAAGCTTTAACTTATTTATGCAAATTTGTCTGGCGAACGCCAAGTACTTAAGTTGTGGCTTTTTGCCAAGCAAGAGAGAGGAAGGAGTTAGTAGAAGCAGGCCGCTTGCCTTAGCAGTTTTTACTCGGTTGCTGGTTGCCTTCCAGGCCAGAGGTTTAATCCTCTTAATAATTTTAAAACGTATTGTAGTGTTAACAGTTCTCTGTACTACATACGGCTTCCTGTTAATATACGGCCAATCTTCCACGTAGACCCTTGTTTATTATTTCAAAGTTAAGTTAGAGTTTAGTTAATATTTTTTATATTCTTACGTTCAGACCACAAGTGGTTGGTCTCTGTATTCCGAAGTCCGTAAATTATTGTAAAGAGTGAAAAATAAAGAGTTTCGTATACCCTTCCTGTGTATCTTGTCTACTTCCCACATTTATTGAACATAGCTTTAGTAAGCTCCTTGTTCCGAGTCAGGTCTTTGCATGTTCCCCAAGCAAGTAAGGCGGAACATTGAACCTGATAGTGGCGCCCGACGAAGAAGAATAACCATGGCCGAGTTTCAAGAAGAACCTGTGCTGTCTGCAGAAGCGGCTCAGAATCCAGAAATGCCAGCTGCCGCCCTGGAAGGATTTGGTTACATCGTCTAGACCATGCGCGCGCATCGATGAAACCAGAAGCAAGCATTTAATGGAAAACTCACCGGTGACCAGTTTTTTGGAAAAATTGGATGACCACTTCATGATGTATATCCCAGTGCCATGAGTTCCAGAAAGTCACCTTAGCTACCAGCGCTTTGAGAGGCCAAGCGCTTAATTGGTTCAAATGTAATAGGCAGAAGTCCTCTTGGGTCAAGCGGGAAGTCCCACCTATACTTACGAAAATTTCAAGACTGCCTTAGTAAAAGCCTTCCCTGTCGTAAGAAATCGTGCGAAATTAGGAAGCGGAACTTTTCAGCATATAACCAGCAACGAATTGAAAATCTCTTCAAACTTTATTTTAAGAAAAATTCACGTCTTCAAACTCTTGTATGGAAGCCGTCCGGATCCTGAGATAATTCCAAGTGATTTTGCCGAGGTTACTTCTTACTTCCCCAAGTACAAGACTTATCATTGAATTAAGGAATCCGACTACACTGGAAAAGTTATTTGAGCTAGCAATCAAGTTTGAAAGTAGAAGAACGGCGGACATTGAAAGAAGACGCCAATATCAACAACGAAACCAATTTGGTGAGCCAAGACCACAGCAAGTCAAGCACACGGCTACGGAAGCAAAGCGAATCAGTGGGCAATGAAACCCGAGCATCCAAAAACAGCTGGCGAACGTCGACAGTTCAATAGCAATCCAGGAAAAAAGTCTCAAGGCCAGTGGAAAAAGAAGGTAAGCATCGAAAAAAAAAATTTAAACTAAAACGGATTTCTGCTGACGGGAGGGGAAAAGGGTGCGGAAAACCCTCTTCCTTCAAGTTAAATACAGTGTGAAAAGACTCTTCAAAGATTGAAGTGTTGGTGAATAACATCCCAGCCACCGCACTCCTGGATACAGGCGCGCAGTGTTCCTGTGTGGCAGAAGATTTTTTTTCGGAAGTATTTCCGTAAATATCGCATATATAATTCGGATAATACGACAGTGTTAGCTGCGCAGGGAGGAAAGATGCAAATGCATAGGTAAATTACCAATCTATATCGTCGTATCAAGGACGAAGCAAGGTAAACATTATGTTTTTTATTGTAAAAAATCTGCAAGCACATGTTATCTTTAGGGATAGATTTTCTTTCAGAGGCAGAAGCAACGCTGGATTTTAATGAAGCGTCCCTTAAGCTGACGATGAAACCAGTTCGAGAAGAAAAAACGGAACCGCCAATGTTAAAGAATGTTTGTTATGATAAGGAAATGTTTATGATAAGGAAGAGCAACAAAGAATCCGACAAGTGGTAAGTGAATTTGCTTCGTTATTTAGTGGTATTCCAGGATTTACTCAAGTTACCAACCATAGTATCGACACCGGAGATTCATTGCCAGTTCGCCACAAAGCATACCGGTATGATAAGAATAAAGAAAAAATTATAGAATGGCACATTAGCGATATGCTACGTAAAAAGATCATAACGCCCATCTCAAGTAGTTATGCTAGCCCGGTGGTTTTATGTAAGAAAAACAATGACTATCCATTAACACATCC